CTTCCTTGTGACCCTTCTGTGAGGGGATGTCCAACTGTCTACAGATGGGTTTGGGGTCTCCATTCCTATCCCCTCATTCGCATCGAAATGGCTGCTTGTTTTGGGTCTTCTAGTGCCTGATACCTGATCCCATCGACACCTCGTGATCACACAGGTTGGTGTGCTTCTTCCATGTGGGCTTTGTTGCTTCCCTGCTAGATGGCCACTTGTTTACCTTCAAGCCTTTAAGACCTCAGGTGCTATAGTTTGTAATAATAGCTGGGCACCATCAGCATTCTTCACCACCCTAGTGTATGCACCCATTTTCTCTTCAGCAGTCGTGTCGGAAAGGTGAGCATCACAAGAGCAGTTCTTAGGACACAGTACTGTGGGACAGAAATCTGGCTGTGGCTTAGCTGGGTCCTTGAACTCGGGGCCTCTCGTAAGACCCAGTTAAGGTATCTTAGGTCAAGACGCCCGTTGTCCTAAGGTTCAGTTTCAGAAGGATCTGCTTGCAAGCACACCCTGTGGTTGGCAGAGTTTAGCACCCAGGGGGCTGTTGGAGAAGCCTCTGGGCCTGGTAAACGGTTAAGCCCTTGACCGGTTGATGGCACACACCCATGCAGAGGCTCCGCAGTAGGAAGGCCTGGTGATCCGCTGCTGAAAGCTCAGTCTTGCAGCCCGCGTGAAGGCAGACCCGCTTTGTGCACGCACGTTGGGATTGCCTCGGTAGCAGATTGCTTCTTTGCTTTGGGTTTTAGACTGAGGGGGTTGTTGGTGATGCTTGGCCGAGAGGCAACCTCAGTCCCTCCCATCATGCTTCTCACCACAAGGTGGTCTGCTTCATCTGAGGGAGCCGGCAGGAAGATCCAGGCAGAGAAGGAGTGCCAGGGCAGGCCGGAGTCCCAGTGTTGCACAACCTGATCTCTTGGTGGAAGCAAGTCACTGACAGCAGTGGGCACACAAGTGGTGGGGATTGCAAACAGCATGAATGCCAGGAGCAGAGCTCATTGGGAGCCTCCTGTTTTACAAATCAGCTCATCAAGGAACAGTCGGGACAGTGACTTCCTCGGCGTCCCCAGTAATAATGCTGGACCAGGATTGAAATGATAGCCTCGGAAGCCTTGAGGGACAGTTCTACTCCGTCACACGGGGCTGTGAGGAGTCAGCTGACTGGATGGTGCCCAACACACCACCGAGGTGGAAAGTGGACAGGGATCATGCTCAGGGCCCCAAACCCGGAACATTTGAGCCATCTGCTTCAGACCCTTGGCCCAGGTTCTTCTGAACCAGCACTCCCCACCCCTTGGGAGCCAGTGAACTCCACTCACTCTCAGAGGTCTTCCTTGGGAGGTCATGTCTTTCTGACTGAAGACCCCCAGAAAAACCAAACTCCCTGGTATTGAGCTGATACCGACTCAGTGCCCCTGTAGAACAGGGTAGACCTGGCCCCTCGTGGGTCTCTGAGACGGTAACTCTCTGTGGCGTGGGTGTATGTTAGGCTGTTGAATGGGTGGCTTGGGGGTTTTCTTCCACCTGAGATTGTAACTTTTTTTTTTTTTAAGTTTTATGGGCATATCATCCACATATCAAACAATTCAATAGTTCAATTATATCAATAAGAATTGTACAATCATTATGCCATGCCAACCAATTTTAGAACTTTTTTATGGTTAAATGATAATTAACATTTTATGGTAAAATGTAATCACAACCAATTCTACTGCTCCCTTCCCCTCCCACATACATTGATTGCTCCCTTCACCCCCTCACCCTCCCTATCTCCCACTCACCACCCCTAAGTCCCCTATAAATCCTTGTACCAGTTACTATCTTTATGCATCTACTCCTATGTGTTTCACAAACTAGAAAACCCAACAGAGACAATAAAAAACAAGTAACGTGGTAAGGATAAAATAATAATAATATAAAGATAGCAATACAAATAATGAGTAAGAAAAGACCTCCATCCATATTTAAAAGGCCAGAAAAGAAATTTTTGCCATGGAACAAGCGAGAAATACTTGCACTTAGAACAAATTCAGCTTTCATCAAGAGAGAGGTCAACTGACCAAGTAACAGATTCAATCCAGTATCATCATGATTACAGTGATCTACATCTGATCATAAAGCTGTTCGAGACCCTTGCCTGTGGCTAGAGGGCTCTGTCAGCGGCTTAATCTGACGAGATGCTCTGCAGAGGGCTCCCACTGCCCTCCCTAGCCTTCTACAAATTGAGTGTTCGCAGTTTAAGCTCTGACACTTTTGTCATATTTGAATTTTGTCATTGTCATCTTTGGATCACACAAGCTGGTGTGCTTTTTCCATGTGGACTTAGTTGACTCCTCGTTTAGATGGCTGCTTGAGACTGTTATGTTTTACAGGACTAGAAAGCCTCATCTTTCTTCCTCCGAGCAGCTGGTAGTTTCGAACTGCTGGCTATGCAGTTTGCAGCCTAATAGATAACCACACCACCACCAGAGCTCATTGCCTGAAGACTAGAGCAGGTCTGGTCTCCCCCACATGCTCTCCCAAGTGTCACACTTAGCATGGTTGGTTCGATGACTTACGTGGGTGTGGGAGAGGCCGGCCGCGTTGGCTTTGCTCACCATCGGATCCCAGTATGTCTGCATGGGGCCTCCAAAGAGTTAATGAGCATTGCTGTTCTTGTGTATTGAATGATACCATTTAGAAATGTGACAATTTACAGAATCATTTATTGAGGTGCCTCCGGTGGGTGGTTCCAGGGTGAGCCAGCTTCTCCCCAGGATACATCTGTCACCCTGTACCTTCTACTTAATTGTTACCTTTCTAAACCTCCACATTAAAATGCTAATTAGAAAATAACTGCGGGACTTCCTGGCTTACTGTGTACACACAGAAAAGGAACTTCCAGAGGCCTTTGGGGACATACCCTCTGGTGATGTTACGCTCTGGGCTGTTAACGTAAGCTCAGCAGTTTGAAACCAACAGCTGCTCCCCGGGAGAAAGATGAGGCTTGCTCTCCCCTATAAAGATGTCCAGAGGGGCAGTTCTCTGTCCTACAGGGTTGCTGTGAGGTGGAGTCTGCTCAGTGGAGGTGGGTGCTTCCTCTAGAACTGTGGGAGCGGGTTTGTTTGTTTGTTTTAATCATTTTATTGGGGCTCATACAATTCATCACAATCCATGCGTACATCAATTGTGTAAAGCACACGTATACATCTGTTGCCCTCATCATTCTCAAAGTTCGCTTTCCTCTTGGGTTCCTGGAATTAGCTTTTTCCTTTTTCCCCTCCCTCCTCCCTCCCCCCTCCCT